TTTTTTTTTTTTTTTTTTTTTTTTTTTTTTTTTTTTTTTTCCTTTTTTCTTTTTTCTTTTTTCTTTTTCGGCTTAGGTTCAAATCCCATCGTTAATTGCTTTATAATATATGTTTTGTGAGAGTAACCGACGGTCCTCTCAACCGGTAGGATAACATAAGTTAATACCAGGGCTATCGGTAAGTCCAGCACTCGAACAAAGTCACGGCCTGCTGCCTATGAAAGTTTATCAGATAAAGACTAATGGGACGTAAATGGGACGTAAATGTCCGTCTAAGGTGTTGACAACTACCTAGAAGGTACGGTTTCATGTATATTTWAAAAAATGGTATTTCACATTTTTGGGTTTTTCTTGGTTCGCTCGGTTTCCTCGTTTTCCTCGATGTCGCAATGCCGCTTGAACAAAGGGAGAGACCTAACAAACTCTACTCGCAAGTGATCCCAAGTCCATGAATCGAACCGGAGACAACAGAGCTGAGAGGCGACTGCACCACTACTACCCACGCTTGATTCAAAATTCAAGAACGTAAAACTCTCACGGTGACCCTTGGTCTTAAGGCTATAACCGGTTAGTCCTGGATACATCGATATATCGGGACAAACCCTTTCATCTTAGACCCTAGTTACCAATAGAAATGACTTCTTTGTTGAGTAAGGCTGCTAGCCAATCACAACTCGTCTTTCTTTATCACCTATCTTCATGGTTTTCTTCGTATGCTTAAACAGCTTCATCTGTGTACCTAGATTCCACTTTAGAGACATAATGGCCTGAATGTTAAATATTGATTTACTTGCTTATGCCCTATTTCATTGATGAGTTASTTTATTTATTTTTATAAAAAAAGTTTTGAATATGGAAGGAATATATATGAGGAATTTTTGCTTTGATGATTTTTCTCATTCTTCTTGACGAAGAAAGAAATCCTTAGAAAATAATTGTCTGACTGTGGATTTTTTTTCGCTTTCGTTTTTACCGTTTTCCTATGATAGGCTAGTGCGGACCATGAATAGCTTTTAAAAAGCCTCCCTCGAAGAATGCTGTTCCTCAGCTCTTAAGTGCCCACCGGAGTCCAGCATGACAATGGCTCTCGTCTTATATGCATCGATAGTAACTTCAGTATTATCAAACAAATAACCATTTGTTTTGGGCTTTTCCGTCTTTCTATTTTTCCTCTATGCTTTTTATCTTCGTTGTTCGTAGTGGCAGTTGAGAAAGTGAGCGATCAAAATTGTTGTATGCTTTTTGTAATGCCTTTTCCTGATATTCATAAAAATTCAGGTTTAAAATACATGTACTGCATAAAGAAATAAATATACTTCCATTATGTTCGGTTTGTTTGCTGTTTTTTTTGTACAACAATTGCGCAGATGTTTTATCTTTAAAAGCATTTAAACGATTTCCCACGTAGATCACATTGTTAATACATGTTCACATCAAGGGTTGTTTGATGAGTGAAAATTGCCTCCTCCTCGATAAATTAGCGTTGTTCATCAAAACTAGCTGGTCATTTGCTTTCAGCCTTAGGTGAAGAAAGAACACAGGAAGAGACAGGGTTAACTATAAGAACCGAAGTTCTTGAAGCTATTTTCACCATGACCGGTAAAGTACTTGGGATACTGTTGCTGGTGTGTGCTGTGTCTGCTGATATCAATCTGCACAACCCAAGGTAAGTTTATTTAAAGGTTCTAGTGAACTTAGGCTATAACAGGTAGGAAATGAAGTAGAATCATGAAAGGTGCTTTAGTTCATTTACTGGCTACTTTTAATTTCTTTTATGCCTTGTGTTAATTATTTTAGAGGAGGCAACAACAGACTTGATGAGGAGAGAAGAGACAGAAAGAACGCAAACAGGTAAAACTTTAAAACTTCAACACTTTTATCGAGAACGTGAACCAGGGCACGGTTAACTCACAGGTCTAACCCTGAATTAACAATCTCTAGGCTGATATAAGTAGGGCACAACTAACTCACAGATCGAACCCTGAAACAACTCTGGACTGATCTAAGTCAGGGCATGGCTAACTTACACATCAAACCCTGAAACAACTTTGGGCTGATCGAAGTCAGAGCAAGGCTGACTCACAGATTGAATTGGAATTCAGCATGTTAGGTTTTGCGGAGGGAGGAGAAAAGCACTCAAATCAAGGGAGACGCTCCCTTGATCTAATAAACTCTACTCAGCTCACATGTGATGTAGTTTCCAGAAATCGTGAGAAGCAAGTGCACTACTGCCGCCATGCCACCTTTGATTCCCAAGTGTTACTTTTGTAGTTATTGTTAACTTAAAGTGGCTCGTCAAATACTTATATTTTTGATAACTTCTGATTTTTCCTGTGAAGAGTATAATATCATTCGTGATCTTTTCTTTCGTGTGCAGGCTTTTTGACTCTCAGAACAATAACCGTGGTGGTCATAATGTAGGTAAACTGTACTACTACACGGGATCACATCTACAGATACAATGGTACGTAACGACTGTAACAATCTACTTCGACGATGCGGCGGCCATCTTGAATCGCAAGGAATTGTGGATCGCCCGGGGGGAGGGGGGGGGGGGGCAAAACAATACAACGATGCTGAAATGACGATTTTTAAAGTGGAAGAGTGGAAAAAAATTATTTTTAAAATCAAAACTATTTTTCTTATTAAAGCTGCATTTATAAGTTTGTCAAAAATTCCTGTGAAATTAGTGCAATTTACTTTTCGCTTCCAGCATGGCAGCGCTAACCGCGACAAGCAAACCCTTTTCAGTAGATTGCTATGATACGAATGGGAGTCAGTAAATGAGTTTCTTGGTACTACGCATTCATTCGTCAAATCTTCCTTTGTAGGGCTAATCAGCATTCGTGTAATGATCGTAATAACCACTGTGAGCTGGTCCTCCAGTACATGTGTGGGGACCTGGTACGAGATGGCACAACTACGGAGTAAGTATCGTTACTTATTAATTTCAAATTTGCAAAAACATCGAATGTTCTTAATAATTCGCCCTCCTCTTTATGTCCTTATTGTTGCCGTCACGGCACGGTAAATCCCATTCGTATATTTCTCAGTCATACGAACATGATCTGTTGTAAAGATAAAGTTATGCTTTGAGAACTTGAGTGAGCTAGAAAAAGTGTCTTTAAGAATAGAGGCCAGCATTTCCCAGTCTCCGCGCACGAGTAAATACCTAATCCCCCAAATGCGCGAGCGGCAGTCTGTAATCATAATCAAGTTTCTTATTTGCAGCAATGTCCCCTATGATGCCGTATTAACTATACGTGGCCTAACCAACGCGCAACCTTATTATTCACAGAATGATACCAGAAAACAATCAGGGATGTTATAATGGAAGCTGCAATACAGATTTGAGGTACTTGATTGAATATCAACATGCGCCTATTTTTGAAATTTTGTTTTGTTGTTGTTGTTGTTGTTGTTTTGTTGTTGTTGTTGTTGTTTTGTTGTTGTTGTTGTTTTTTGTTTTTTTGTTTGTTTGTTTTTCGCACCCTACTTTTTTTCTCATCTTGTTTCAAACATATTTTTTTCCGGAATCCCTTTCTTCCGATTTTAGCGAACGTTAACCTTGACTGAACAGCTTCTGGGCTGACGTCTTGTCATGGCACGGCTAACTCAAAGGTCGATTTGGAATTTTCTTTTATGAAAAGCTATGTTTGGAAAATTGAAAACCAGAATGCATTATTTAAAGTGTGAGGACCCTCTTATAGAGTTTAATTTTTTTCTATTAGGCTTGGAATGCACGAAGATAATGATTACTACAACGAGTGTAAAAACAGAGAAAGAAACAAAGGTCTATTCATTGCCGATAGGGTAAACTACTGTAATATCAAGACCATTATTTCAAGTTTTGTTTTTCATTCATGTTATCTGCGTCGTCCTTGTTCTTGCCAAACCTTGGATACGACACTAGTTAAGTAATATTTGCCTAGAACAGAGCGGGTGGCTTCAACCGTGCTACCTGGGGATGTTTAAGAACTTGGTGTCGTGTATGATCAGATTTGCTTGGTGGTTTTCTCCTGTGCTTCGAGGGTTTTCACCGCGTGCGTATTGTCCGTTTTTTCTTGAGCTCCCCCTGCAAAAATCTATGTAACTTCTATTACATTGTATCGTGGAATCAGTGGAGGAAGAACCAATCTGTGGAAGCACTGTAAGACACGATATACTTATTTAAATATCTTATATTTTATTCTAGTTTGTATTTTATTCTATCTATTTTATACTTGATAAAGAATTTGCGCAACCGTGACACAGCAAAGTACACGCGACAAAACAATAATGGCCAACGTCGAGGATATGAATGTCCTGAAGAAAGAGATTACTATCCCTACTGGCATCCTACACCATGGAGGGTAGGTTTATAAGCTATTATTCAGCACAGACTGAATCCGTTGGACGACAACTTTGGAGTGAAATATGTTTCAGCTTAGAGGGGAGGGATAAAAGAAGGAAGGAATAAAGGAAAGAAGGAAAAAAGAAAGGAAGGAAGGAAGGAAGGGACAGGATGGAAGGAAAGAAGGAAGGGAGAAAGGATAGACACATAATTGGATGCCCGTGGCTGGGTGAACGCAGAAAAATACATAAAAGTTAGGTGCATGGGATGTAGGATGCAGGGTGAGGTGGAAGGTCCTTGTACCTAGTCCTAGGTGCCTATGACGACAATTGAGTTGTAAAGAATGGCTAAACTGTATGATCTAGAGGAAAATGGTGGAAAATGGTGTATATCAGTTTAACGATATGAAATATCGATAATRATATAAACATCCTAAATGACCGCAATAAATCTTATATTATAAATATAATCTTTCTAATAAATAAATGATCTCATTTTTAATTCCACAGGATATTGCGGTTCTTACCAACAATGCATCACGGCGTGAGATGTATCGCCGCGAGAGTGAGAATGTCAGGGGTCGCTATAAGTGCGTCTTACCGGAAGAACTCAAAAAGACACAACCAAACTTCAGGATACCGAATAACAAAGTGGCATGTGAGGTAACACATGATAGGCATAAAGGATTATTACCATATATTCTTTTTGTTAAGAGTGAAAATTGTAATGGTCCCCTTCACAGTTCCCTGCGCCATCTTGAAAGGTAGCCGCGACTTTGCATCGAAGCGAGACGAGCGGTGAGCTTGCAATGATAGAGACATGTGAATAATTGTCCAAGGTGTTAAAAAAGTCTCTATTACTGCAAGCTCACCGTTCATCTCGCTTAGATGCAAAGGCCCGGCTACCTTTCAAGATGGTGAATAATTGTCCAAGGTGTTAAAAAAAGTCTCTATTACTGCAAGCTCACCGTTCGTCTCGCTTAGATGCAAAGGCCCGGCAACCTTTCAAGATGGTGCAGGAAACTGTGAAAGTGACTATTTTCTGAACAATTTTTAGTAGTCTACTTTAATCCAATTATTAAGTCCAATTTTTTGCCCGTCAGTAAAATTCACGTGATTATGCTTTCGCTTTTATTTTCCAAGCTCCCTACCCCCTCTCCACTGTCCCAACCACAGTCCCACCCCAATCGCTTAGGAATTACTGGATAATACTTATGTTTCTGCATGCCATCCACAGGCTGTAAAGTATCCCAACACAGACCAAGGAACACCAGCACGATGGGTACGAATGTCTTCTCACAGACTACCTGCTCCAGACTGCAAACAATCCATCTGGTCACGTGACAATCACCAAGGCAACGTAGAGGGTGGAGAGTTCATGAGTTATGACTGGGTAGTCCCGAACACTCCCCATGAGCAATGTGTGTTTAGGATAAGGTATTACAGTTACGTAAGCTCATGTTAGTCTGATATTCAATTGACCATTTTCTCAAGGCTGCGTGCGCATCCAACTTGACGGGCCACAAAACTGAAAAACGCAAATTCAGTAAAATTGAGAAGCCAATTTTATATTTAAAGAGGAGAATAATCGATTTTATAAATTATTATCGTAGAAAATTTCATAGCGATGCATGACAATACTCGTGTTCTGGTATCGTGGCCCGTCAAGTCCCTAAATTTGGATGCGCACGCAACCTCGAGAGAACGGTCTATAGCATAGGAAATAACTTTCATTAAAAGTGTAGGACTTCACATGAGCCAAACCTAATTACATAAAAGAAGATTGCCTTGTTAACCATTGTTTCAATTAGGTTCGGCTCATGTGAAGCTCAACATTTGACCTGAGACTTGAACAATATGCTATTTGCAACATGATAGGTGAATACAGTGTCTACAAGCACCGGCACCACCGACGTTGCATCGCTATAACAAAAGGCTGTTTCTTTTCCTTTCGTTAAATTAGGATACTTCAGAGATTTCTTGTTGGCAAATTTAATGACAGTCAACCAAAAAAATCCAGTCACCGTTCGCCTCGTTCATTTTTCTTGCTTCTTTGGCAGCTAAGAGTCACAGATTGGACAATTGTGTCGCAATTTGCAAAGTTTCTGTTGCATGCTGCGCTCTTTTGAGCGAAGCGTAGTTAAGAGATGCGCGTAATCAATAGCACAACGACATTTATTTCTGTTTGGACTTTCTCAACTATTTTTATTGTGCGCATATCTTGCTACACTTTGCTCAGACCATTCGAAACATGGTCGTCCATATAGTTTTTTTACAGTAATAGAGTGTATTCTTGCAATCCGATTGGCTGACACCTATGGACTGTATAGCAGATGCCAGAGGTGCCTTCAGATGCTTTCAGTTTGACCCCATTAAGCTGCGCCACTGCTGTCCTTGCGGTGGTGATTAGCGATGACTAGTTTTTTATGATCAATAAGAGGACAGTCAATGGAAATCTATTAGCGATTTGTTAATTGGTACATAGAAATCTCCTTCGTTGTATAAAAAACTGGTTGGACTTGTTTTAAGGTACAACATCACAGCTGGCGAGTACGATGGCTGGGATCCCGCTGTTAACTCTGCTTTGAATGGCCGAAGAATCTACTACAATACGAAGTACAATCTGCCAATCACAGACAGGGAAGCAAGGAATCGTGGATACTACTACAGGAATGATCCTGATGTCAAAATCTTCAAGGATGTCCCTGGATTCAGACTTAGGATTCAGATCAACACTAACCAGGATGCTCGTACTTTCCAGGACAGGTCAGTTTACAAGGGTGGATCCAGGGGGGGATTTGGGTGACTAGTCAACCCCTTTTGGAGTTGAAAAATAAAAAGAATAATGGATACTAAGGTAAAACCTAAAAAAAGACGCTATGTGATGTCTTTCTTGATAACAGTCACCCCCTTTGAAATCCTTTTGGATCTGCCACTAGTATATAGTGGACAACCCTGACCACAATGTGCTACAGACCAGAAAATTATTTTGAAAACTTGTGATTGAATAAACTTTCCCCAAGTCGACCTTTCTTGTCTCCCGAAGAGTTTTCGTTCGAAGCCGAGAATGTGTCGAGCGAAGGAAGCAAGCAACGAAGTCGCGAGAAGTCTTCCCTCGCGCACCAGTAGAGCTACTCAGAGAGCGGTGGACTTTGCGAAAGTCTAGTGATTTAGCTGATGAATATTTTGCACGAGAAAGAAATGTCATCTAGTGAAACCCAGGGCCCGGATGTACGAAGGGTGGATAGCGCTATCCGGCGGATAAATCCATATCAAATGGATAAGTCGATGCTTTTATCCAATAAATTTATCCACATAAGATTTATCCGTTGGATAGCGCTATCCACCCTTCGTACAATCAGGCCCAGAGCAATAGGGGAGTACTAGCCATGCATGAAGTGCTATGAAGATGTTTGTAGTTGATCTGCTTTGCCACGACCTACAAAAACGTCCTATAAATATAGCGTTGGTCGTTCGTTACCAAGTGGGATAAAAATCGAAATACATTTCAAGGCAATTTAGACGTAATTTTAGGCACGTAAACTGAAAATGACATTAATTTGAATTGACATTCATGACACTATCTTTCACTTTTTCCAGATCTCACACCTTTGCCATTCGTCGTCGACCAGGAAGGCTCCGACGTGCACACATCCATAACGTCAATGTCCGCGGAAAACGAGGCAACATTGTGCAAGTCTTTCCATCAACAGAATATGACTTTGTACCTAACACACTAACCATGACTGAAGGACACTACGTTCATTTCCAGTAAGTAAAAAACAAACATAAAGAGGGTTGATCTAAGTCAGGGCACGCCTAGCTCAGAGATCGAACCATGAAACGACCAGGGCACGCCTAACTCAGAGATCGCACCTTGAAACAACCTCTGAGCTTATCAAAGTCAGGGCATGACTAACTCACAGATCGAACCCTGCAACAACCTCTGGGCTGATCAAAGTCAGGGAACGTCTAGCTCACAGATAAAATTGGAATTCAGCTTGTTAGCCGGCTTTGCGGAGGGAGGAAAACCGGAAAATCCAGAAAAAAAACCTCGAATCACAAAAGAGACGTAAAGAACTCTTCTCCCATGTGATGTCAAGTTCGAATTCGAGATCCTAGGGGTGAAAGGAACGCATGCGCACTACCGCTACGCCACCGTTGACTTCAGTGATAAAAATGAGTCGACAGGAGGTATATATTGCGGCGGAGCCGGCAATACAACTCGATTTCTTTCGTCATGTTTGACCAGTAAACCGGGGTACAGTAAGAAACCATGCAATATATATTCAAGAATAACTTGGACGCGTCTCTCTCTCTCTTAATTCAAGGTGGACTGGATCCAACAGTAACCCTAACAACAATGCTGGGGAAGGTCGAAGAGGTAGCGACAGGCACAACGTGCTCCCATTGGCTGATCCAGTCTACTCGGAGGGCGTCTCACACGCATATACCTATGGACACTTGGGACGAAATTATCCAAAGAACATCAAAGATGCTGTTTTCCTTGGGTTCTCTCTTGCTGACAAGACCTCTCTTGCTATATTAAGCCCACGTGAGTTTATGACTAAATCCATTCTTCATGTTTCCATAGAGATCATATCTACGAGAGAACTGCATGTTCTACCATTGGCCAATTAAAATGTGGGGGTATATTATATTTAGAAACGCAATCAAAGACTTCCACTCCCCTGGTCCTGGCTTCAAATTACAATAGTCCCCACGGCTTGAGTTTCCTCTATTAGGTTTAGACAAAACCAATGTATGTTGATTACTTTATACGTGTACTTGCATTGACTGTCGGAAGATTTGTGTGTGTGTCTCTCTCTCGGGATAAAAAATCCTTCAGCAGGCACCCGTTCATCTGCACTATATTTTCCCCTTTAAGATTGAATTCGTGTTTTCCTAAACCCGCTTCTTGGAAACGGGTTTCTTTGACTAAGTTGCACCTGTCGTCGAACGTGAAGTTCAATTATGGTCCTCTGTAAAGAAAAAAATAACGATCACTAGAATATCGCAAGAGATAAAACACATAAACACCCTCACTAAATGGGACTAGTAATTATAACTTGATACTTTTTCATTTTTTGGCATTTTTCAGAACATTTCGGTGGTGAAAACCAACAGCTTGATGACGCAGGTCCATACTTTGATCTTGGTCCACGTGCAGTGAAAGGCAAAGGGACATACTACTACATGTCCACTAGGAATAACAACTTCACTAACAGAAGCCAAAAGGGCAAAATAGTAGTTATTTAGCAGGATCACCAAGCAATGTTGCCATGGTGACCGGTTAAAAGGAATGACCATGTTTTTTGTTTAGCTTAGAATTGAGATGACCAAATAAATGAATGAAAGCAAAAAAAATCTTATTATATGTACTCAATTGTTAGAAAATCTGTAAAGAAAGAAAGAAA